TTTGAAGGCTGTTTAGAGAGATGCTCTGTGACGTGAGGGGAAGCATCATTAGAGGTGTTCAAGCAGGGGAACAGCGTTAGGGGCACTGAAGGATGGGGTATGCCTATTCTCCTTCATGTTCTGTGTCTATATGAACGATCACCTTTGAGTCATACATTTTACATGTGTAAGCCAACACCACCTGCTTTTAATTCTGAGCAGCTAGGGAGACCTGCTGGTACTTTCTTGTGCCCAACTATGTGCTTGCCAGACTTTGGCTTCTTCTGTTCCTTGGCCTCCTCCAACCTTAGAAATCCCACCAAAGTCACCCTGCAGTCTAAGCAACAAAGACCACAATGTGGGTGCTTGTTCCCATCTCCATGATTAAGACTGGGCTCTTCTATAGAAGCCCAAATTTGAGCAGTACATGCTCGGAGACATTCAACACCCTCTGGCAGTTGGCCTTGAAGTTCATACTGAGTCTGGTCTCTTTCTGGGCTCGCGCTGAAGGTTGAATAATAAAATCCTCCCTCTAGCGGCTCCAGCTCAAACAAGATCTTACCCTACAGAGACAGAGCCTGAGTGCCCGAGACACTCTGGAGCCCACGAGGAGGATTCAAATTCCACGGCTGAGCACTTGATCCCCCTGAAGGCTATCCATGCACACCTCCTGGCTGTGCCAATGACCCAGGATCCTGACCAGTGCACCAGCAGCCACAGAACACATGATCGTCTCCCTGTTCCCGGCCACGGTTGAAGATGCTGATCTCATTGCTTTGCTATTTGAGAAGAAACTGTCTGGCTTTCCTCAAACCCAAGTTCTGAGTCCTCGGCTCTTCACCAACTACTGGACGCTCTAGGCTTTTTGTAGAAAGGAGAGGAGGGAGAATGTGATAGATGATCTTTGTAGCAATGTTACTGGATCTATCTCTCTTTGGCTATGCAGATGGGGAGAGGCTACTTCCTGTCTGTTGTATGCTAGCATCTAAACAGCCCCTAATGGGCTGAAGAGCATCACCTTTCTCCCTCTGGTATTGCATTCATGCTCCCCTGGATATGAGGGAGGCCACCACTCATCAAGCCATGGATGCTGGGGTACTGGGACTCTAGCACTCCCCAATGCCACCAAAGGCAACAAACACACACCAGAGAACTGCTGTATCCATACTTTTCCTTTTTCTCAACCCACAGTTCCACCTTCCCACTTCACACCCTAGAAGGTAATTTTGACAACAGCTAACCTCCCAGCAAAGTTTGGCTTATCCACAAAAGTCCTACCCCCTGTCTTTGTATACTAAGTCAACATGTGAGTAGGTCAAGTTCCATGTACATAGGTGTTCCTAAACTCCTATAAATGGCTAGCCAGTGTCCATCATTCTGCATGAGAACTAAAGAGTCTTCAATGAAATATTTAAGGGAAAAATTACCTTTGCATTGTACATGCATGGACTATCTTCCTGTCATTATGAATATTACAATTATTAGATATCATTATGTTGTATTAGGCATCACACAAGACCTAGCAATAACTCAAACTATATAGGCAGTTATATACAAATACTACACATTTATTATTTATTTAATCTGAGTACACTGTAGCTGTCTTCTGACACAGAAGAGGGCATTGGATCCCATTACAGATGGTTGTGAGTCATCAATGTGGTTGCTGTGAATTGAACTCAGGACCTCTGGAAGAGCAGTCAGTGCTGTTAACCACTGAGCCATCTCTTTAACCCCACCAATTTATTATTTAATGGACTTAAGTATGTGTGGATCTTGGCATCTGTGGAGTCTTAGAACCCATATCCCTGTGGATATCAAGGGATGACTGCCTAATGTAGTCAGTTGGATACTTGCGGAACTTGAGACAAATGCTGGAAGATAAGGTTAAGAAAGCTGAAGATGCCATGGAACTTAGTGAGTCCTCTGGCTTCTGCCATCATTCACAGGAAAGGGCACGTAGTGTGGAGCTAGCACGCATGGTGGGATGTATAGCTTACATTCCAAAATGCACTGGTCAGCATCAAGGGGACATAGTTCCTCTTCACAGGGAGCCATCGAGAACCGGGTATGGGCATTTCTCAGCTGTGCCAAGTAAAGGGATCTAAATGTCTTGCATCTAATTCAGACCGTACTCCTTCGACTTCAGGAGTCAGAAACGAGGGCCTGCAGGATGGTTCTGGGAGTGATCTACCCTGGGATCACACGGTAGAGGGAGAACAGGAATTGTCCTCTGACTACCAAGTGAGCACTAGGGCTCATAAGCAGCTATCCATCAAACAGACACGGAATAACTGAACTGCATATAAGAAATGTAGTGGGAATTCTAAACCCCACCCTCACCCCCAGACCACTCTGGTCCAGTCAATGGACAGACAATACTATATAAACTACATTAAAACATATACTCTACTTTGGGTAGGTGACAATTTTTGGTATTGTATGCCTTCAATAAAGCAAGTCAGGGAAGGAAAAGAGTTCCCAGTCCCCATCCCCATCCCACAAGTGCTCCATGGATGAGTCCTATTAGGAACTAAAAACCCACTTTAAAAGGCTGTGGTGGTTTAATATAAGGCTACTTTGATACATTTGTGTTGTCTGCAAATAGGAAAATGTCTTTATTTTGTTCCAAACAATGGGTAGTTAGTGCAAGAGCACCGCCTACGCTATCTGAGGCCCAGAATTGTTGCCAATACCACAAAAGAACCAAAAACTCCAGAGCAGACCATAAGTGGGGTAGTTGGGGCTGGACTTATGCCAAGGTGATATGTACTATCTAAGGTCATAGCACAGATTTAAACAAGTAGCAACACAGGGGTGGGAAGGTTTCTCATTTCTTTCAAGAAAATGGAATTTTCAGTTCATACAGAATCTGACATAGTTTTCAACTCAATTCTGAACCAGTCTACTGAGCTGAAGAGCAAGGTCAGAGGTGAGGTGACTTTTTTTTTTTTTTTTTTGATGCATGGCTTCATCTACTTTCAAAAACCGACAGGAAGAAGAAAGTTTCAGATGTTTTTATTCAAAGGTTCTCAAAAGAAATAAAACAGAAAAAGCTAACAATCTGATCAAATGTACAGTTCAAAAATGTCTTTTGGCGTTTAACAAGTCCTAGGAAAGAAAACTACAGAGTCATCTTGAACCGGTAAATAAGTCACCACTGGCAAGTATGTAGCACTAGTAGAACAAAAATAAAAAATTAACTCTCTTGATCATATAGATATCTCTATGAAAATCTTTTTTTTCAATCTGTACAAAAGGTCTTTCTTCATAAATTAATTTTTTTTATAATTTAATGGCTGTCTACTATGTGATGTTTAACTGACTTTTTTTTTTTTCTTTTATATGTACAGAGGTTGTTTCCCAAATCTGACCCAGACGAGTATGGCACTTAGTTCAGACATACCTAGCAGCAGATCTCCCCTCCCCTACTGACTGAGCTATCAACTTTCTGTCTTAACTAATGGAAAAAAATATCAAGTAGTGAGAGTCTCGGCTGATAAACATACTCGGTCCATGGAGGGTGCTGCCTTCAGTCTGGACTTCACAAAGCAGAATGTTTTAGGGAGCGTAGAACCAATAATACCACAACTTCTTAAAAAAAAAAAAAAGAAAGAAAGAAAGAAACAAGAACAAAAACAAAAAACACATTTCTCGTATGACTATGTAATTTTCACTAGAATCTACACTTTCAGAGCAGCAAGGACTTTTGAAACTATGAAATGTCACTGACATCTATCATCAAATACAAGCAATAAAATTTAAGAACTAAAAAATACTCAAAAGAAATAACTGCTTAGCCCTAGCTCCTGAGCTAGGAGGATTTGGTCGGTGGAAACAGGGAGGGCCAGCAACCTGTCCCAGCACAAAAGAAAAATAGCCTCTGAGGTAGATAACTGATCATGTACAGCTGACCAGACAAGTACACAGTTTTGGAAGACAACTTAATTTACCATTGCTTTTAAAAGTATGCAACTGCCTTAATAAAAAGAGTGTTAATAACAGTGGATTATCTCATATGTACTAAAGTAGAAATAACTGTATTTATGAATCAGGAATTTCATAGTTTCAAAGTTGGTTTTCTTTACACGCAAACACCTGTAGTGATGACATCAGAGGGCGGCACTGCCTGGATTCAAATCTTCCTTCATGCTTTTTTTTTTTTTTTTTTAAATTTGTCTCTGTGAGTCCATACTTCAGTTAAAATTATAAAACCTAATGCAAAGGTACAAAAAAGGCACATTCTCCTAACCGCAAACTGGTCCGGCAAAAAGAAAGGGCAGACAAGGTATGACGCTGAGACAAGGTGGAGCTGCTGGCTACTGGCTCGTCGGTCTTTGGTGAAGTTACCTTTAAAAGTGCCAAGTCATTTTTTTAAGTTTTTCAAATTTACCTAATAGAGAATGAGAGAGAGAGAGAGAGAGAGAGAGAGAGAGAGAGAGAGAGAGAGAG